CTATATCAACCAGAAAGCAGATAGGGAAAGTTGGGGGACCCACTGATGAGCCGGACCCCCTGCAGCTATGTCAAGCAGCGGCAGAATACCGGCGAAACATGTGTCTGGGCCTATTAGCAAGTACCCAGGCTGTAAGTATGGTAAGTTAAAACGTTAATTCAGAGAAAGCTGCTTTTTTAGGTTAGTTTATTGACGGTAGTGGGCATTTATTTTGGTGAAATCACAGGTAGCCGACATCGAAGCTATTTTCTATGCCCTCGACAGAACAAAACTTTCTATTAGTATGAATTATATTATGAGACAGCCCCAAAATAAGTAAAAAACACGTGTAAAAGATATCCCGTCGAGGACCAGAAAATATATTCCGAAGATGCTCAAATGCAATTTAAGTCAAATCTAAGGAATCGCATTTATTTTCGTAAACAAGAAATAATTTCTATTTTACAAATTATTTTTGCCACAAAATTCAGTGACAAAAAAGTTTTGACCACGTGTTGTTTTACGGCAAACAAAGCCGCCCATATATATATTTTTGAAGATAAAAGCACATCTTAGTAAATCTAAAGCCTGTAGAAACATACCTTTTTGTACACTATAATTTCCGCATATGCATAATTTAGAAATGGAACAGACAGAAGATGAAAAATTTTTGCCATATCTCAGAGGAAATTCGGCGACTCCTATTTGCATTCACAAGCTTAGAACAGAGACTGGAAGTAATCCAGCGTCCTGAAAGACTGCGAGGACGTGCCTGGCAGCCCTGTTTGGTGGTGACCCTGCCAAAAGCTACGGTGACAGGTCACAGAAGTACACACACATGAGGTCACGTTCTCGGGCAGATAAGCGTGAGAGATCAATACGGATGTGACCTGGTGTTGGGCAGCAGGCAAAAAGTGCAACAAATGGTGTACCCTAGGGAATACGCTCAAACGCATATACGCGGACAAACACAGTAGGCTCGTTGATGAACGTTCACCCGACTTCAAACGGAACTCATCTGTCCTGCTCTGCCTTGGGACTCGAAAGGGGCTCTGACAGTTGTAGATGTAGCTGGTAGTATAGGCAGATAGTACTGCCGACTGGCTGACGACGACTAAGAAGCCAGAAATGGGCATTCCAGTCTCCTC